CTAAATAAAGTTTTCACTCAAATTTGGGTAAAATTTTGAGTGATAGCCTTTAAGAGTACATTTTATATGTCAAATGGACATATCTATAGCTCAAATGATCAAATAGATAATAATTTATACACACAAGTAATACTAGAGACTCCTAAAACAGGACGCCTAATTTCACCCATCCCCATCCAAACCGGACAAGGGGTTTGGTATTAGCTTCAGTTGGTTGATAATACCTAAACAAATCAATAATAAACATACAATAATCCACGTCATTAGGGAAAATCTAGGGTGAAACTTTAGGGGTCTTAAGCATTTTTCATACATATGATATAAAATAAATAATTACTCTTCTTGTTTTACTTTTTTTTTCTTTCTTCCTGAAGTACTCACTACCAATTACAAACACATATTTTGTGACTCAAGTTTGAGTGAGTATCCACAAACAAGACACAGTTTCCTTAGAAAGAACATTTATAAATATGTCAAATGAACATATCTAGCTCAAATTACTAAAATGATAACCAAATAAAATACCTACATGCAAGTATGAGCACATAGAGGCAGAAATGCAAATAAAATAGCAAAAACCATGGAATGAATTTCAACAAATCAAATACAAAAGCTCAACAGCGATCTCAAAGACCTAATCCACAAAAAAAAGAGCACATATTTTAGGGAGATTAAAGAACTATGAATGAGAAAGAAGACTCACAATCACCAACCAAACACTATAGCACCATCATCTGCCGTTGCTCGCCGTCTCACGCTATCTCACGCTGCTCGCTGCCGCTCGACGCTGTCGTCTGCCGCTGCTCGATGTCGTCTCACGCTGTCGCTGCCGTCCATCAACGCCGTCGTCTGCCGCTGCTCGCCGTCGTCTGCCATGCTCACAGTCGCGAGAGAGAGAGAGAGAGAGAGAGAGAGAGAGAGATGGGATATTTGGTTCAAAAGATTAAGGATTTGAGATTTGGGGATTTTTCGTTCAGGGGGAAAAATGAACGCGAATAAGATTTTGAGTTTTTTTTTTTTTTTTTTTTTTGCGACGTCAAGTATAACCGTCACAAAATAATTGAAAAAAAAATATTTGAAAAAAAAAATTAATTGAAAAAACATTGTTAGTCAAATTTTTAAATTTCTGTTTAAAAACCAACGTAAACTTATTTTTTGAGTTTACATTTTTTCCTCAAATTTATAAACAGAGACAACTATTTATGAACCAAAAAAATTATCAAACAAATTTTTATGACAGTTTTTTAAATTTTTGTAAATATAAATTGAAAACTAAAAACGAAATGGTCACCAAACAAGCCCTAAACAATGAAACAAATGGCGTTTAACTACTCCCTCCATTGCAAAATAATGGTCTCTTTCTTAAAACACACTTTTTTTTATAGTATAATTATTATATTTTAAAATATTAATTTTTCAAAATTATTTTTTGACAGTACATTTTTTTTAGAATATCAATTGTAATTGTACTTTTTGTATTATTAATGAATTTAAAAGAATGGCAAAATAATAAACTCATATTATTTTATTTCTTGATTTTCGGAAAGGGACTAATATTTTGGGACAATAAAAAATGGAATAAGGGACTAATATTTTGGGATGGAGAGAGTAAATTTTTTAATTTGCAACGGGGGTATTGCCGTCGCCGATAACCTTTATTTGCCACGAGGGAAGGTTGTCGACGAAAAGAAACAAAAAAAAAAAATTCATTTTTTTGCCAAAAACCTCTATGTCCATTTTACTACGCAATGAAAGCTAGAAAGAGAGAGAAACAGAAAAAGAGAGAGAAACAAGAGATGATTAGCGAGAGAGAGAGAGAGAAAGAAAGGAAAGAGATTAACGAGAGAAATAAAAAAGACAAAAAAAAAAGAGAAGAGAGATGAGCAAGAGAGAGTGAGAGAGATGAGTGAGAAAGATAGAGAAGAAAGATGAGAGAAAGAGAGAAAGAAGAGAGATGATGAGTAAGAGACACACAGAGACAGAGAGAGAGAGAGAGACCCATTTCATTTTTTGACTTTTTTCTCTTTCAACAATAATGGGTTCAGAGAAAGAGATGAGTGTGATTGAGAGAAATGAACGATTGAGAGAGAAGAGAGATGAGTGAGAGAGAGAGACACACACACATACACAGAGACAGTGAGAGAAAAAAGATGAGCGATAGATAGACAAAGAGAGAAAAAAATACAGCAAAAAGAGAGAGAAAGAGAGAGAGAGAGAGAGAGAGAGAGAGAGAGAGAAAAAGGCAACAAAAAGAGATGAACAAGAGTTATATATATATATATAGAGAGAGAGAGAGAGAGAGAGAGAAAAGAAAGATAAGCAAGAAAGATAGAGAGCGAAGAGAAATGAGAAACCTAGAGAGAAGAGTGATGAGTGTGTGTGTGAGAGAGAGAGAGAGAGAGAAACAAGATGAGCAAGAGATAGACAAAGAGAGAGAGAGAGAGAGAGAGAGACAGCGAAAAGAGATGAACAAGAGATATAGAAAGAGATAAAGAGAGAGAGAGAGAAAGAGAATAAATGTGAGCAAGAGAGATAGAAAGCACAGAGAGATGAGCGAGCCAAAGAGAAGAGTGATGAGTGAGAGAGATGAGAGAGGGAGAAGAGAGATGAGCGAGAGAGCAAGAGAGAGAGAAAGAGAGAGAGGCCCATTTCATTTTTTGACTTTTTTCTCTTTTGACAAGTGATTAAGAGAAATGAGAGATGAGCAATTGAAAGAGAAGAGAGAGAAAAAAAAAGGAGATCGATAAATCGAGAGAGAGATCGGTAAATCGAGAAGATGAGAGGGACAAAGTGAACAACATTAGCACAGTGAGAGAGAGAGAGAGAGAAAGAGAAAGAGAATTTTTTTAAGATTTTTTTCACAAATATTATATTTTTTTAAGTGTATTTATGTTAGGTTTATTTAAAAATAAAAATAAAAAAACTTAAAATATTTAAAAAATTTAGTGAAAACAAACAAAAAATACGAGAGATGAGTGAGTGAGAGAGAGAGAGAGATAAAGAGAGACAGGAAGATGAAAAAATAGGTGAAACACTACAAAAATTTCAGTTTTTTGCGGCCGTCGCTAATACTTCTAATGCCATCTCATCAAAACAGTCTCGCTTTTTCTTTTCTTTTCTTTTCTTTTCTTTTCTTTTTTTTTTTTTTGCGACGACACCTATTACCGTCGCAAAAAACTCTCTTATTTGCAACTGCAGTTCATGTCGTTGCAAAAAACAACTTTATTTATGACAACAGGGGTTACCATCGCAAAAAATGCGCATTATTTGCGACTGCAGTTGTTGCCGTCACAAAAAGTTATTTTTTTGTGACAGGAAGGGGTGTCGTCGCAAAAAATCACTTTTTGTGACGATAAGTTGCCGTCGCAAATGCTTCCGTGTTATAAAGTTCCTTTTCTTGTAATGTATGCTCCTGGTGTTCTCTGTATATACAAACATAACTTGTGTCACTATTGCAAGTATTAAAATGGGAAACTCAAAGTTATTTATATGCCATAACTCATAGATATTACTTACATCTAAAATAGTTGAATTTCATCATTGTTAAATAGCACATAACGATGTGCTTGTATCCATCTTTTGATCACGCTCAGTATTCATTATTGCCCCTGTAGAATCTTCAACATTTCTTAAGGGTCGATTGAATATGGTTTTAACAGATTTCAAATACCGCAAACAAAATATGAAGCACTCTTTAGCTATGTATCCTCCTGCAATAGAGCCTGCTGGATGGGCTTTGTTATGAACATAAGATTTCAGTCATTGAAGATACCTACATGAAAAAAAGTATAATTATAGATCAACTAAATTGGATGTCAATGTGATATAAGTTAAAAACACAAATGGATACAAGTTATTATGTATAACCTCTCAATGAGATCATCCATGTATAATGAACTGAGCCACCAATTTTAGCCTCAATGGCCAAATGAACGACTAAATACACCAAAACAATAAAAAAGGAGGAAGGAAATTTTATTTTAAATTGTGGTCAACAACCGTTACAATGAGCCATTTGTAGGAACATTTTTGGGACCACTACAATAAAAAAATGCTGATAAAACATGATTTTCTTGTAGGGCACCTTATCAAGTATGCAACTATTATATTAGTACTTTCGAAGAAAAAAAAAAACCATCACATTATGCTAGCCTGTCGTTTTTTAAATTTTAGGCCAAGGTTGGCATTCTTCAAAAAATTCAAAAAGTCAAAAAGTCAAAAAGTCGATATCCTATTTAAGTCACATCATCTTATTTAAGTCACATCACCTCTCTAACACATCACTTCAAACCCAACCCAAATCCAACCCATATTTTATAAAAAGTCAAAAAGTACACTTATTTTAGTCTTACCAAACTTGGCTTTCACCACTTAAATATGGCATATATCTTCTAGATTATTATATAACAACTTTACAAAAATATCGTACAACTTAACGTTCGAGTATCTGAATTTTGCCCACTTATTTTTTTTAAGTTAGTCGAAAAAGATGGATCATAATGTTGAAATTTATGTTTGGTTTTGAATTTTTAAAAATAATTTCTCATTTTCAACTGGTCTTCTATTTTTAATAATTTTTTAATATTTTAATCAATTTTTTTAGACAAATTTAAAAAGTAAAATATTTATGAATAAATCTTTAAGAATATTAATAAATAAAAAAATAAAAATATATATTATTTTTTATATTTATTAAAAAAAAATTCATAATTTTTATATTTTTTAAGTGTATCTAACTAAATAATAATAATTAAAAGTTTCACTAAAAATTAAAAAAAAATAAGAATTTAAAATTTAAAATTTAAAAATTATTTTGAAAACCCCAAAGCTAAACGGGGCAGGGGAATTTTTGGTAATTTGAACTTGATTGACTTGGGCCTAAAAAAAACACATATGGGTCAATTCTTTAATTGACATGGGCTAGGCCCTAACAATACACATATTAGGGCTCTCTCTCAATACATGGATTTAAAGTTGAAACACTGCGCACTTTGAGGGCTTTAGGTTTCCACAATAGAGAGGCGAAAGAGACGAGTATAAATACAGTCACACTTGGCTAGGGTTTTTGGTTGCCTCGCCTCCCCGATCTTCGCACAAACAAACAGAGAGAGAGAGAGAGTGCGAGATGAAGACGATTTTGTCGTCGGAGACCATGGACATCCCAGATGGGGTGAAGATCAAAGTGAAGGCGAAGATGATCGAAGTGGAGGGACCTAGAGGGAAGCTGACTCGCAATTTCAAGCATCTGAACCTGGATTTCCAGCTGATCACAGATGAGGAAACAGGGAAGAAGAAGCTGAAGATCGATGCTTGGTTCGGATCTCGGAAAACTACCGCCGCCATTCGCACCGCGCTCAGCCATGTCGATAACCTCATCAACGGTGTCACCAAGGGTTACCGATACAAGATGCGTTTCGTCTACGCTCATTTTCCGATCAACGCTAGCATCACCAATGGAAACAAGTCCATCGAGATCCGTAACTTTCTTGGTGAAAAGAAGGTCCATACTCATCTCAATTTCTCTCATTTTCCCTATTTGATATCATCGCTTGCATAACAAATTCTTACACTTTCCAATCTGAAAATGGTTTAGAGTAGTTGCTGGATGTGAATTTGAGAGGCATTCTTGGAAAATGATTGCTTCTTCTTCTGTGCAATAGAATAGTTATGTACATACAATAGATCTATGTTGTTTATATGGATTTTAATGAATTTATTGAGGCAAAAATATAGGAAATGCTTTTGGATGGACTTGTTTTGGGTAATTTTTGTATGTGTAGCAGATATAATTTTGTATGTTTAGCAGATAATCCATTTGGAATTTGTAAGCCGCAGAAAGATTAGAATTGTTGCTTAGACTTGAATGCCCCATCAAAAGATTAGGAAGACAATGGTGGGTAGTTTGTTTGACAATGGTGGTTTGGTTGAAATTTATTCCTCTGGGTGTTTGAGATGCGATAATGATAGCTGACTGAGCAAATTTTACTTGGGTCATTGATTTTTTGTTTTTTTTAATGTAATTAGCTTAAATCTGATTAAACTTTGGATTGGAGATGATGAACACTAATGCTGAATGTAATTTTAATTACAATATTCTTGGGAGTTGGGTTATTATGAGTTCATGATTGCAGTTTCTTTTATGCTTTCATGAAGTCTAGTGAAAAATGCTTTAACAAAAACCATGATCTAAGGTGATGTCAATGCTCATTTTTGCAACTCAGGACCTGCTTTGTAACATAGCTATCACCGTCTGTTTATTGGAGCTAAAATATTCTTTAATGGACTTGTAAGCCTTTGCCGATCTAATTAGCTAGTTTAGTTATTTTCAGCTTTATTATTGCATAAAATTTCATATGGGAAGTTGTCTATTAAATTTAAGTTAAATCTTACTTGGTGGTATTGGTGTGTGTGATTCGTGAAGTGAACGTTGGCATGTCGGTTCTTTTCATGTTTACCAATTACATGTCGTAGTCCAGCTGGCTAATTTTGGTGTCATCACACATTACTTGAATAATGTTCTATAAGATATTAATTTACTGTTTTCCTATTCTCAGGAAAGCAGATGTTTAATGTGATTCATGTCAGTTAAAAACTATTTGGCTTATGCCCTATATATAGTTGTAGGGATTTCCTGCTTTATGTTGATGCTTGTTGGAAATATTGTCGGGGCGTAGTCTCATTTTCATTGATGCCTGAATATTTGATTTCTTTTAAACATGGGAAAAATAAAATGGTCCTCACTGTACTTTTTCAATAAGGAGAAAAGGAGAAAGAAAGTAATTCTATGTATATGTGCACATGTAGAAATGTACAGATGTATATGTGAACACTGTGACATGCCAGTCGAGTAATATTTTGTGGCTTGGGATATCTCAGAATGGATGCTTTGATATCTTTCTTGCGCCATGCATTGCAAAATGGATTAACAAAATGTACATGCATATCAATGTGTGAAGAAGTCAACTTTCCATTTTATAGTCTCTAATAATGATTTCACTTATTGTTTGCATCAGGTGAGGAAAGTTGATATGCTTGATGGGGTTTCCATTCTCCGGTCTGAGAAAGTTAAGGATGAACTGGTATTGGATGGGAATGATATTGAACTTGTTTCTCGGTCTGCTGCCCTGATAAACCAAGTATTTTCCTCTCTTTTTTATATCCATGCACATGCATTTGTACAAATCCATCTGCTCTTACTCTTGCATTCTTCTGCTTCACACTGCATTACGTGCCTTTCTAACATTGTTATCTGTATTTGTTTTATCAGAAATGTCATGTTAAGAACAAAGATATCCGGAAGTTCCTTGACGGTATTTATGTCAGCGAGAAGGGAGCAGTAGCCGAGGAAGAATGATTTGTTAGGTTGTAGTTATACATTGTGGTTTCTATTCTGGTGGTATTGGCTAGCTGTTATCTTTTTATGCTCAAGTTTTTGGACGCTGGCTTTTTGGAGACTTGCTTTGAAGTTGAATTTACGATTTTGTTGTCAGACTTCTCATTTAATATGACAATCTGGTTGGTTTTGCTAGCTTTTGTGATTTAAATTTTTTTTATGACCAATATGAACTGGGCGAGCGGACCGGGTTGGTTCTATATTTGATTTAATGCACTTACAAAAGTAAAATAAAATAAGTACTAGTGGTTATGCAGCTTAATTATTTGTTGGTGGTGAATGTCAAATATTTGGACCGTTGTGTAGCTGGCCCAATGTAGCTGAATGGGCACTTACGAACATCTGGCCCAATGTAGTTCAGTAGTTTTGTTCAAAATAAAATATTAGTTCAATAGTTTATTGAAAAATTGCTGTGGATAGTTAGTTTTATCCATTGAGTAATGCTATATGCCTTAATTAGTATATTAATTGATAATGTAGTATAACTTTTGTATTACGAGGAAGATCAATAATAAAGTTATAATTAGTGTTGATTAGTGTTGATATACTAGTTAGTACATTAATTAGTACATGTAGATTCACTTTTTATCCATTTGCTTTTTGTTCATGAGAATTGAACATTACATGGGTTTTATTTTGGATCATGGCACGTATCTTTGCCATGGGCAGTTTTGAATTCTGAATTTTTCTATGATTTGGTAAGTGTTTTTTTTTTTTTTTCTCCTCAGGGTGGGTTCCACTTTTCTGGAATGGGCACTGGTATGCATTAGGTTGTGTGACAGTGATTTTATTTTTTTTTGTAATGTCATCTATCAATAAAAGGTCATGAAAAAATTAAATCAACAAGTCTTGTCTTTCATTAATTTAACATTGTTGTGGTTTCATATTACAAATTAAAATTACTCGTTGAATAGTAATATCGTCACGTAATATTAGGATATGTTTGATTGGAAGGATTAAAGCATAGGATTGGGATTATTAATCCGTGGGCCCAATAATCCTATGTTTGTTTTGACATTTTGGTTTAGGATTATTAATCCAATGGATAATTAATCCAACAAGTTTGTAGGATTATTAGTAATGGGGTAGGGGTGGGATAACTAATACCACACTAATTTAATAGGATTATTAATACCTCACTATTAGTGTTGTGAATCAAACATGGCCTTAGTGTTACATCTGTGATTTAGTTTAGTAAATTAAAAAAATTATTGTTACATCTTATTATTGTTAAAATTATTGTTACAACTAATAATTTGATGATTGTGGATTTTTTTTCTTTTTTTTTAACTAAAGTTATAAGTGATATATAATAGTTGTTTGAAAAGTTATTATTTTAGTAAGTTTTCTTAGTTTTTTATTATTTTTGGAAAAAAAATTGTGTTTGGGAAGATAGATTTTTTTGTAGTTGCATGTGATATTTGTAAGAGAAAAAGTAAAATGATTATGAGTTTAATGTAATATTTTGTCTGAATTTATTTTTATTTTTTTAACCTATTTTATCTTTTAGCAAAAAATTAATAAAAAAAATTCTTCCAAAACACAGCCATAGGTAAAGTAAATACATCATATAACGTTCTTGCACATCACATCAAAACAAGAACACAACAAAGGACAAACAAAATAATCGACCTTCAAGCTGCGAGTTCCAGACCAATAACATCCAGTTACGAGTACCAACTCCATTGAAACAAACTCAAACCTCTATCATCAACCGCAACGGCAACTTTATCAAAAAATTGCAAGCAACGGCAACACTTACACCAATACCAGAAAACACACAAAGTACACAAACTATTGGATCAAAAAAAATCGACACTTCGGACATCGACAAAACACTTGGGTTACTGAAGTTGTCTTTAATTATTGGTTCTCTCTTACGTTTGCCATAATCATGTGCATAACAATGGCCATGGAAGTTGAGGAAGTCAAACATTATCTACCATGTCAACTGGATCCTTGCAGCGATGTCTTAGTGCTTAGATTCTCTTAGAACATCCCACACAAAATTTCTATCAGATACAGGTGTCAGCAAGTGTACTTCATATTTACTAAAAACTAGGGAGTGTAGTTCCGGTATGGAAATATCCTCTAAATGTGTTGGTGGTGGTGGTGGTGGTAGTGGTTAGTCTGAACTTCCCGATTATGAACTTCCGACAAATCAATTGGCACTTCTGTCTAGGTCATATCCTTTGTCTGAACCAATGTTTTAAAAATCAGACTGATAAGCTAACTGAAAAAGAGATTAGGTTGAACCTAATCAAATTGTGACGGCATAATTACTTAATAAATATATTAAAAATAATAATTAAATAAATAGAAATATTAATAAATATATATATATTGAAGGGGCAGAATACAAATGAGTCGAATCCATGCCTTGGGCCGGCCCAATCCATTAAACCCAAGTCCAAGTGGGTCAAGTGACTGTGTGGGCAAGCCAATAAAGCCCAACTCTATGATCAATATGTCCACCCAAGTCCTCAAACACTTAGGCCCAACTCATAGTGGGAAGGCTAATCCAGCCGCGATACTGGATTGGGCCAAATTGCAGGACTTAATTCACGAACCGAACTGATGGGCCGAACCCATCATCATAAACCAAAGTGGGTCGAGCCCACACACAGATATCTAATTGGGCCAGCCCATCTCTGTAAAACAGCCTAGTGGAAGGCCGAGTCGAGGCACAACGGAACCGAGCTGAAGGAACCTCTCAATGAAACGTGGAAGCTATGAATACTTGCATGTACAGGCTGCCACCTCAGCTGGTACGCTCTCCCTAGAATCACTGAAGCAGTTGAGCAAAAGAATGTAATCTATTATAAGCATGGTTACAATGAGTATATGGACCATTGTCAACTACCTAGTGGTCTCCTACCTTGAGCAATGTTCGAGGGAGCTCGGCAGCACCAAAAACTTCATGAAACCACCTTGGGCAACAAGTAAGGGATTGTATATAAATTACACTCACTTCACATTGAAGGTAACAAAGTTGAGTTGAACTATACTCACTTAAACACAACTCTCTACACTTTAAGAGCACATTCATCTTCTCCAATCGCTTACTCCCACACCGAAGGGGTTATCCGACCAACTTTGGTCGGGCAACTCTAACGGTGCTCATTGTCGTAGGGTCTCAGCTTTTGGATAGTCCAATCGGGTGCGAAGCTCCAGTCCACAATCATCTAGTGCGGTATTTGGTACGCACAATTGGTGCGATGAGCGTGAACCACTTCATCTCTAAGTTCTGCATCTGATTCCGGCAATAGGAATTGTGGATATTCCACCCTCTACATTAACTCGGAGAAGACGAAAGAGAAAGGCCTGGCATTGCCCACAATTCTGAAAGAGCAGACCGGAAACAACAACCAGACTCTGGAATCATTTGAGCATCGGCAGCCCTTTGCTATTGGATCTTTCCACCATTTTCTACTAGAAAAAGATTATGGATATCTTATCATCGATTCCATAGGAATGAAGATACAAGAACTAAAAGCGCAGTTCAAAAGGATGATGGGCGACTCGATGGAGAGGAGAACCGACGCAGAACCCTTTAGTCTGTGCCGAAGGAGCCCATCCCTGGAACCACCGGTAACGAAGGTCCCTAGAAATGAATCTGGGCAGCAAAGTCAGCCAATCTCGGTGCAAAGTGAAGTAGCGAGCAGCCACACCCATGGTTCATGTCAGAGAAGAGCTAAGAGGTAGAAAACAGCCAGCCAGCAAACAGAGTACCCTCCTCAAGATCTCCGTACTTGGTTGGTCGAGAACAGACAAAATGAGCAACGACGAGAGCATTAGGCTCAACACCTTGACCGTACTGTCCATCAGAGAGAGCACTGAGCCCTAGATCGGCTCGTCTCCTCTCCTTTCTCTCCAGATATCGAAGCTATGAGACCCCCCAAGAAGTTCACTCCACCAAAATTCACATCATATGATAGGAAGTCAAACCTGTTAACACATATCAGCCATTATCGGCAGATGATGTCCTTGTAGAGCGGAGATGAAGCACTAATGTGCAAAGTCTTTCCATCGAGCCTGGGAGAATTTGGACTCCGATGGTTCAATCATCTCCCTGCTGGATCGATTTATGACTGGAAGCAGCTCTCTAAAGAGTTCTTAGCCAGATTTTTTTCCAACACCAAAATCCCAAAAGAACTGGACACCTTGTTCAGTCTCTGAAAGGAACAGTAGGAAACACTGCGTAATTATGCAAGAAGGTACTGGGAAGAGTATAATGATTTGGAGGAAAATATTTGTAGCGAATAGATGGCTGTAATGTCTTTTAAACACGGTCTGCGTCCAAAAAGCATGTTACGACAATCACTTACCAAACGCCCAGCCACGACACTGAAGGACTTACGTACTAGGATTGAGTAATATGCTCACCTCGAAGATGATCAAATCCCCATTGAGATGGCATCGGCCGAATAGATAACTCGGGGAAATAGAAGAAGAGCAGATCGAGGGGAACCCTGAGGAGTCGCAGTGAATGAAGTAGACAAGTCTAAATCCCATGAAGCAGTAGTTACAGTCTTCAAAGAACCTATCTATCGAATTATGGAGAAAATCAAGAGAGAGCCATTCTTTACTTGGCCGCCAAAAATGCTAGGAGACCCAGCTCAGCGGAACCAAAAGCTCAGATACACCTATCATTAGGACAAGGGGCATATGACTCAGAACTGTTGAGCACTGATGCAACACTTGAAGGACTTGGTAATTGATGGGCACCTCCAAGAATACATCGATTCGGACAAAATAGTAACCGAACAGGAAAATCCTCCACTAGAACCGAACGTAGAGCATCCGCCTCAATTGGTCATAAATGTAATCCATGGAAAAGCCAGTCATAAGCGAAAAGAGGTACTTCAAGAGGAAATCGCAAAAGCCGTACAAATTCAGCAGGTCATGTCAGTGGGTCTAGCACCGAAAAAGGTATGAACAATACCTAAGACCCCTTTGTGCACTATTTCATTTACTGAGAAGGATTTAGAAGGAATTCAGCACCCACATACTGACACATTGATTATAACTGTGGGAATTGGAAAATGATTTTATATGAAACGAGTCTTGGTAGACCAAGGTAGCGTAGCAGATATATTGTATTACGACTTGTTCAAGAAGCTCGGTCTCTCTGAGCAGCACCTCACTCCA